ATCGGGTAGCAAGGTTATTTCTGAGGTGTGAAAACGTAAGGGGTGGCAAATAAACGAGGTGAAACGAAGAAGGAATATATATATATATATATATATATATATCGGGTAGCAAGGTTATTTCTGAGCCGTGTAAAGGTGACAAGATTTAGTTAATTAATTTGATTAATTTCGCCTTCACGTTGGTCATTTCAGAATTAAAATTGTTTAGGATCTTTTCAATCTTTTTATTTCGCTGTCTTTAGTATCGCTTGTCACTTCTTTCGCGTCTATTAAGTACTTTATTACAGCCAGTATTAATGTCTATCGGGTTGTGACTATTGCGTTAAACTTTTTAATTGAACGCTGAAGAAAAACGTAAATTATTATTAACACTAAATTTCGAAATACAACGTGGCTCGCGAACTCTCGCCGTTAAATCTTTGAATTTACTTTTTTGAGCATTTTCCAAAATCTTTTAAAGGACCCGTGGAAAAGGACTCTTGATACTAATAGGAAAAAAAGACATTAAGACGAGAGCACGTAACGAAGGACACGCTTGTATGTACGAGGACTAGGACACACGAGATGCAACTTATTGAACGGATGTATTACAGGCATGCGTTATGAAAAGGGATTAAAAATACGAGAAGAAAAATTATAATGAAAATTACGAGCATAAAGATATTTTTGTGAGAATTCATTAAAAACGATCAAACGAGCCTGTCTTTCTTTTTCTGTCTTTTAGCACTTTACGCATATCTATTTAAGTTTTTCTTTATCTCATTCTTAGCGATTGGCAGGATCGAACGTAATTAGATTAATGATAAATAGAATCGGAATGAACGACGGTGGTTTTCTTGTAATTCTTTTTTTTTTTTCATTTTACCTCTCGATTTCTTTCGATCTCGAGGATATGCAGACTCGAGCAATTTCACAGGATTCGCACTTAATTTAAATAGGTAAGACAGTAGGTAATACGATTTAAGTCTGGTCGCGTATTTTTCACGCTGATTGTTTCGTATCGAACCCCTGGATAGAGAATTACTGTCGATTATAAATTCGGAATTTCCAATTCGAGGATGATACGACCTTTAAGGGCACTTTGTGACGAGTCATTAAGCGCGAAGTAGTTTTTTTGCTCATTGATCTTTCGCAGAAAAAAAAATATGACAAAGAAGTAAAGAAAATTTCGATTTGTAGATTTCGTTTTATAGATATTTATGTAAAATGCTCGAGTGTTCTTTGCTCTCGGATAGCGAGCGTATACGTAATAATTAACTAACAAGGCGTAAATGAGGATCGCAGGAGAGAATTTGGTGTAAAAGGCGCTAGTTTTCTGTGTAAATGCAATATAGAAAAAACAATTGTGACGAGCCATTTTCTAATCGTCGCAAATAGATACAATAGTATTTTATCTATCTAGTACGAATGATCATAATACACGAATGTGAAGTTTGGTACACGAACCGTCAGGCGAATGCACCAATCACGCGAGTCTTATACGCATTCGTTAATAGCTAGATACAACAGTTTTTATAACAAAGTTCAAAGAAAATGCCGTTTGACCCTTTTCTTTCTACAAAAGATGCAACTGTTAACCTGCTTAAATAAATATTTTTTAATAGGTTTCCCTTTTCTTGAAAATATTTTAGATGTCTACGACGTCACCATCATCAATTTTTAGGTAATTTTATAGTCATTTGGCCAAAAAATTAATATTTCAAGCTGCCCTCTAGCGGCACATTACTTACGGGGTATTCTTTGAGCATTTGTTACAAAAATGATAATTGTTAGAGAAGCACATTATATTATGTACGTAAGATGTATTTTAAATCTATTTATATCTGGTCGCGTTAGTTTTATGTAGTTTCATTGTTTCCTTTCTTTCTTGCAATTACTCTTAATTCCGTGGACCGTGGTTAAATACGATCGTGAGGTTCATTGTCATAGGCGGATGATAATGCATTTATGCTGCATAAAATGAGAAAAGGTGAAAGAGGTTAATTTTTGAGTTCGCAATTAGAAATGTAGAGAATTGAATAAAAACTATTTCTTTTTCGACTCACGAGGAAGAATAATAAGATGTCATACCTATCTAGAAGAATTTATAGAAATCTAGAGGCTAGATATGTCTTTTGCGAATTGTCCGCACGATCGAGTCTTATTTTCTCGTCCGATAACTTGATTCTTTAAGGATCATTGAGCCAAACTCATAGCTGCAATAGGATAAAACGATTTTGTCGCGTTTTAACGTAAAGGCTATATTGTACATTTGTCCCTTCTCCTTCTTTCTGGAGATGGCAAGAATGATCTTGCAATACGCAAAATTGCATTGGCGCAGGATTTGATTTTAGCGAAATAATTATCAGTCGATCGCTTGATCTTCGAATAAGATCGACATTTAATCTAGTAATACTTAATATATGTAAGTAGAACAGTTCTTTCGTATTGTATTGTATTGCACTAACTTGAACATACCACGTGTACGGAGACAGTATGCGACTGTTGGTAATATTTGATATACGTACAAATCGATTGGTACGTATATTTAAATATGTACAATTATTTTTTGCTAGACTTTGTATAAACTAGAAGAACACTATTCTTCAATATTTGACTTTCGCCTTAACTTCCTCTGCAACACCGCCCCATCTTAACTTGTACACTCGAGAACGCCACTGTATTAAAGGATCCAGAACAGCCTGAGCAAATAAGTATGGCCTCATTGTTTCAGAAAGTAACCAGCCACAGACAAACTCAAGTTTATTAAATGGCAATGGACCATTTTGTACCATACACAATAGAGTCCAATCAAACATAAACCATAAGAGTATGTGTACCAGATAGAACACTAAGGAGTCCCATTCAAAAAGAACACTAGCTGCCCAGGAGGCACACGCACCCAATACCAGACACTCGCTTAGGGGCTCCAGGACAATGGTCAGTGGGAGCATTGCGACTCTCAGTTTGGCCCATCTTCTTAATCTTGCTTGGAATGAATGAAGCTCACAGTGACCACTGTTCTGCATAGCTGGTTGAGATGAGACTGTAATTCGCCAACCTCTGTCGGTCAAGGACTTGGCATAAAAGAAATCCTCTGCTAGGTATACTCCAAAAGTCTTGAGACCTCCAACTTCATCCAACGGAGCTTTTCTTAAAAGGGCTGACATTCCCGTGTGGCAATTTATTCTGAGCAAATCTGCAGCTAAGTACATCCGTGACTGTACCGTACCAAAGAAGATTTTCTCATAGGCCGCAGCAAAGCCTTCTCTGTCACAAGTAAATGGCATCTGATGTACCAATGCAACCTTGTCAGTCATACAATTCACCATGTCTAACAAAGTATCTTCTTTCATTCTAATCCCACTATCACTGATCATAACAAGTTCATACTTAGCAGCCTCGTAAGCAGGATACATATTATTTATTTTAGGATTAACTCCAACGTGGGATCCTCCTACAAATAATCTTGCATCCACGAGAGGATATGTCTCCATAAGTTTATGTACAAGCATGAGAACAGGATCAGAATCATCCTCGACACAGAATAAAAGTTCATACACAGGATAATTCATAGTGAAGAATGTCTCCAGATTACTAAATATGTTTGGATCAACTCCCATGAGAGGTTTCATGATGGATACTCCAGGTAGTGGAATCTCGTAGGTCGGTACTTGCGTCACCTTCCTATGAAGCTTCCAACGTCCAGCAATCAGAGCGAGAACATGAACAATCCACATGCCCGACCAGAATATCATGAAGAATATTGCAAACCCATAGAGGGTGTACACCCTAGAACTCATTTTCTTTGGAGACTCCCAAATTGCTACGTGTCCTCGCTCTTTATTCCTCTAGCTTCCTGAATTCGAGACCTTTCAACCGGCCCGAAGGATTCTGTAGTCTTGGCATTACTGCCAATGTTACGGCTAATTCTACGTTCTCGTAGAAGCCATTCAGACTCAGTGGTGAGATCAGTCCATAGGTTATCTTCTCCCCGACGATGCTGCTCGTACCACATTCACAAGCTCTGCAAATCCTATTCCAGGATGCGATATCTGATTTGACGTTTAGTCCTAAAATCCTAACGCGTCCCATCGACACTGATCGCGTCTCCCTGTAGCCCCGCAGTTCACACAAAATCTTCCAAGGTAGCTTTTACGCTTAATTCAACCTTTCACCTCTTTTATTATAATGCACCATCACCATTCATCTAATTATTCGATTACTGATTGACTGCAATGATCCCTGCGTTCACTTCTCGATCTTTCATGGTACATGATGTTTCAACCGCACAGCAGCTACCCAAACACAATACACCGTCGGCGTTGACGGGAGTACTGGCATGTGACAGCCGGCAACTAACGCGAAACGCGGTCGATTCGACGCTCTCTTCACTTTGAACGTGTCGACGCAATCCTGACCAATCAAAAGGAGACGCGCCATGTTAAATCTCTAATCTAGAGCGGGATACATCAAAGTTAAATAAAGGTTAACTGTTGAGATTAGCCAATATTGCTGAAACCCGCCTCTAGTAAGATAAATGTCTCGATAGTGAATCACATCTCACAATCAGTGTCCAACTACTTATGCAATAACTTCACTTCGCGTAAGATATTATTGAAGGAAAGTAAACGAATGAGGACTTTGCATAATTATTAGTAATATAAATAATTTCCGTTTTTTTCCCTGAGTGACGTCTAACAAATTCGTAGACAAATAATATTCCGACGCAAGTAGTCTAAAAGCTTATAATCAGCTTACATTCAGCCTTCGTATAAGGTTTATCAGTTATATTAAGATTACGAAATATATATGTATATTTATCGTTTGAACTGCTAAGACTAGAAACACGTACTGCAGCACCTAACTTCTAATACGAATTCCTACATAAATATCATAAATTCCAAACGGCAAACTTTTAAAGTATTGAATGTAATTTCTTAAACTCACTCCAAATTATATTCAAATTAAATAAAAGAGTTATGGACACGATTCGGTTTAAAATATAAAGAAGATCAATGAATACCAAGAGACTTCTTTCAAATAATATGAATCATTTATTTATCATTTTCCATATCCGTGAAAAACTTTCATGCTTATGCGACTATCCTTATTTTCCATCCTGTTTTAGTACGCGCAGCAGCTGTGCCTTCTTTAGGCTCGGAATTTTTTGAATAACGGATGCTTGTTCGCCGTTGTGGATGCTGCTGATTTTTTATATTCGTAGTAAACAGCATCATCCGCACCGGACATCGAGGCCATATTTCCTAATTTTCTTATGATCTGAAAGCAATGAATTTTATACGTTATAATAAGCACCTTGGAATTATTCTAACTGCCTAAAGTACAACGACTTGTACTTAATTATATTTAAATTAAATTATGAGACTTCATCGCACGTCAGGAAACAGTGTTACCACGCTAATCAAGATATAACCCATAAAATGGAATTACAGACACATTCACCGTGTATCTCATCTTATTTGAATGATACCAATACAGATTTCCTAACACTTATCAGACCTTGATAATATTGTGATGCAATGTCACTTAGCAAATGATTTAACATTATTAAAATTGCAGCTATCGAGAACACGTAGATTATCGGATTCTGATTTACTCACCGGACGTGGACCTTCTCCTGGAATTCTTTCTTCGTCGGCATCCATGTCACTTGCTGACAGTACCTGCTGCAGCAGCTGACTCTGCTCCTCACGAGATTTATACAGTAAATCAGGCTCCTATTAAAATTAGTAATATATAATTTTGTTAGGTTTGAATTACCCTAATTCCTAAGCTATGTCTCTTGCTTCTGATGCGGCTTGATAATTAATTATTTCGTATCATGGATTAGGCGAATCTTGAATTTTCTACAAATAAGTATTAGTAATATCAGAAAGTTACAGTCGACCGAGTCTACGAATATTTATCTTCGTTGCGATAATAATTGGATAAGGCCAATTTAATATTCGTAGATTAGATCAACATTATCACGTATAGTCTGATACTTTCACATATCATATTTCCAATGCGATTATTTCTACTTGCTACTCTTCCTTAAATATTCCTTTGCATTTTAAATAACTCTGAGAAAAGAAACTTCATTTTAGCGTTGACTCATTCAGTATAGGTTGTGTTATTATAGAAGTGAGTCATTTTCCATTTAATTAATGCTCATAGATTGTCCATTTCACGTAAAGAGATTCTTTCTCGAAAATCCCAATAAGCATTAATACGAAATATCATTAAATCATCAGTACAGTTAATGGGTTACAACTAGTTCAAGTTTAACCAATTCTCAGATACATTTGTCCTTATCACTTTCTCAGCTTTACGAAACGCATACGTAACACGATAGTACTATGTCACAAGAAGTCTATTAAAAATAATGATATCGCGGATTAACATTGCCCACTACAATTCAAAATAGCGGATGAGATTAGTTAACATTAATTCATATATGACGTAATCGCGATATCTGTGATTTTAAGATCGTCCGAGCAAAGTTCCACGTACTGGACTGGTCATTTGATATTGGGAAAAAGTACAGAAAAAAAATCTGCGACGTTGATGAGTTTCGGTCAAATCATCTTATTTCTTATTCATGAGCATTTGTGTTGTTTGTTTCTGTTGTCTACACATGGCGAACTGGTTTGAAGAATCGTATAAAATACTCACGTCATCCATGCCGGCCAGTTTCGTAATGACTTTGTAAGCATAACCTTGATTAACGAGGAACCTCTGACGCTTTCGCGAATAATTCATTTCCATAGTGTCTTGGGAAACGAGAGTGTAAAAGAATGCATTGTACTCCTCTGCGATTGCACCTATAAATAAACGATGGACCATTGTGAATGTTAGGTTGAGAAATTATCATGCATATTTGATCGTATTAACACTTTTTTCTTGTGCAAAGTATCTACCTTTCTTGGCACGTAAAATACGTCCCAAACGCTGGGCCTCCTGTCTTCTCGAACCTCCATGTGATGAAATTTGTATTAGCACGTTTGCTTCGGGTAAATCGAACGAAGTGTCAGCCACCTTGCTCACGAATATTGTATTGACTTTCATGTTAAATTTGAAATTTTGTAAGATTTGAATTCTTTCACTCTGAAATTCAATCGAATGAAAATTTTCCGTTAGTTTTCACTTATAAGATCGTGGGATATTTATTTACCTGGCTAGTTGGACCGTAAATGTATGGCTTGTTCATTTTAATTGCATAATGCTTCAATGCAAATACATTGTCTGAGAATACTATCGTTTTGTCGCCTCTTCTTTCGTGATAACGAATTAAGTATTGACAGCAGCGAAACTTATTTGGATTCATTACGTACAATAGCTGAAGATATAAGAATATGGATTATTCAAAAAAATAAATAAATAAGAAATAGACGAGTTGTGACATCATTTATCCGAGTTCTAATGAAAACGATATACTTACCAGCTTTTTGCTGGTTTTACAGCTTAGATATTCTCTGTAGAATTCCGGTGTCATCGGGCACCATACTTCGGCGCACTGGACTCTTGCGATGAATCCTCTTTTTTGTAATTCCAACCAATTGGCTTCGTATAATTTTGGTCCGATTAAGAAATTTAGATCGGCAATTTTATCGTCCTCACGTAACAGAGTGGCCGTTAGACCCAATTTACAATGTGACTGCACTATTGTTAATACACGACGGAACATCTTGGCCGGAATTGTGTGTACCTCTGTAAAAATTCAGTGGCTATAAATATTTCAACAAAGAATGATCCTATAAATATGGAAATTAATTTGAATACTAACCATCAAGTACCATAATACCCCATTCTTGATCCTGAAGCCATCTCATAGTTTGCTCAGCTTCCCATGATCTTTTTTGTGTATGAGTAATCATCGAATACGTAGTAACTAATATCCCACAACCCATGGGCTTATCTTTGGCTTCGCTCGTAAATCGACAAATCATCGAATCATCAGCCGTCGACCACATTTTAAATTGCTGCTTCCACTGTTCCACGGAGACACCGGAATTGCACAAAACAAGGGCACGTTTTCGTACCGTGCAACAAGCAGTCACGCCAACTAAACTTTTTCCGGCACCTTAAAAAAAAAAATATAATTTATTTCTCGTTCCTAATTAATACAAATGTGTGAATAAGTAATATTACTAACCACAAGGTAATACGATTACTCCAGATCTGGCGCGTCCGTTGCCAAACATTTTCCGTAAACTTTTTTCCTGGTAAGGTCTCAAAACGGCCGATGGCTTCAAATCTATGCTGGAAAATTTAAATGTGGTTTATTATTAATAATCGACGTTTCTGACAATCTTTAATGATGAAGTGACAAATCATACGACTTACTTTATATCGGGGTTAATTGTGTCATGTCGGAAATCATATTCAGCTAATAAAGGATGTTCCAATTCGATGCATCGTTTTTGTATCACTTCAATTTTTTCCTGATTCACTTCGAAGCTGACTGTTTTTAATTGCTGCTCCTCTTCCTCATCTTCGTCCTCTTTGTCAATTTTGTCATAAAATGTTGTTATATCTTCGGGAACCGTGGCAGTTTCCGCAGGTGTTTGTTCGACTGCATTTTCAGGAATCACGGTGGTACCAGGTTGTTGCGCTGTGTTGAGTAACGGTTTGGCACCAAACTGCGCACGTGAAATTTTACACGACCATTAAATTTTTGTGCAAAAACGGAAACGCTGGTCTCGTAAGAAATTAACAACCTGCATGGCTTTTGCTTTGTCTTGGACGTTCGTGATAAATCCATCCTTGTCAATCTCATCCACATTCTTTCGTAATCTGCATTCTTGGATCACTGGATCCTTCAGAAGCTTTTGTAACACTTCGGGAAACGGCGATTCGACGAAATACTTATTGTGTTTCAACACCAATTTGACCTTTAAAAAACTGATGTGTAATTATCATAGATTTTGTTATTCATGCAGCTTCTTTAAACTGAATAGCAGTGCGACTTACTTTTCCATAAGAAAGTGTACACAATTTAATAAATTCAATAATACCGTCTGGTATACTTGTTTTACTAAGTCTTTTTAGGTACTCAATGATATCATGGGTTTGGAGACCGACACTAACTGCTGCATATAATGAGTACGCAGTCAATTTGTACTGCAATATAAAGTGAAAATTTATGTTTCAAACAAATTAAGAGAAAAAAATGAAATAGACATTAAAACAAACCTCATGAATGTGTTCAGGTCTACATACAGGCTCCGAGATTGCAATTAAGAAATCATGGGCATGTTTGTAAACAGGTGAAAAGGATTCCAAAAAAATGTGTCCATTGGGTGCCTAGAAATTAATGAAATTGAGAATGCTTTTCCACACAGCCTCTTATTACACTCAGTACTCTTTAACTGGAACAATCACCACTTACTACCCACAATGGCCTAGACATATTATCAGGCTTTAAAATCATTTGGGATCGATAATCCTTTGCTCCAAATTCATCCTCCACAGCACTCTCATCCTGCTTCTCAACATCATTCTTTGCAGCATCCGGTACACCATCAGTGTCCGTGCCTTCTCCAAAATCATCCTCTGTATATTCATCATGATCTTCCTTCCGTTTCTTCCACTTTCCCCTATCTACAAATACCAGACTAAATATAGTTTTTACTTAAATGCTTCCAAGCGTAACATTATTCACAATTGAGGTTATGTACCGTTGTCTTTCTTGATACGTTTCGGTGGTCCCATACTCCTCAGCTAGCCAGAATCACTCTATTTCCAGTCTTTATTTAACATTCCGTTTTACATATATTCCGATAATAAGTCATACTTCCGTCGATTTAAAGTACCAACAATACAACAGTACACAATTTTCATTCACTCCCTCAGTTTACGATGCATTCACAAAACAGCATTCCAGATTGAATTTTCTACATTCTTAACTGCAAACTCCACCTGCATCCTCATTGCGAAAAGCTCACACGTTATCAGTTTCACACACTTACCACTAGATGTCAGGACATCTCAAACGTTTAACCCGAAGCAAATACAAACAAAAATCTCACTATTAATTCAGAATAATTGGAGTCCGCGATATAATAGAATTTTCTTATTTCCATGCTACCGTAACATTCTGATATTTTCGTACAGTTCAAAAGACACAAATACCCAATAGACGCGCGTTGCAGCTTTTCTCAATCGGCGAAAGAAAGTCTCATAAGGCTGGCTCCCCGTGATTCGAATCTTCTCCGTGACGCTTGAACGACAACAATATATTGTGTCCACATGTACACCCAATAACGAGATTATCAAATGTCACAATTGGTATCTGAAATTTTCATCGTCCTAATTTATCTTCCCAATGACACGAAGCCCTCCCCCAATTAGCTACAGGAATTAAATCAAGAGACATCTAAACGATCTGATGAAAATCATCGTATTTATCTAATAGTCAAATTCTCTTCTATCTAGTTAAAATCTGCCCGTACAATTAATAATACATGGTAACCGTATTATCAAGGCGTTATAGTAATTGAGGTCTGTCGATGCCCACATCCAATCTGACCTATAACATACGCAGCTAACACGTTTTATTTCTCTGTAAAAGTAAACACTCGATTGAGCATATTATATACTATTTAATAATATACAACGCACAACGTATCAATTAAATAATTAAATCATATCAGTAGCAACGTTATCATCGTTGATGTTAATTCAATGTAAGGTATACAGGGAATATATCTACGTCCATAATGATAACGATAAATTTCCGTTATAAAATAACCTCACTGCATTAATAAGCATTGCATGCGTTTTACATAAGAACATAGTTTCCTCCTTATCAGTAATTACTATTACTTTGTAACGCTATACGCAGAGGACCAAAGACACGAATGACCCAGGCCAATAGATTTCTCAATTCTTTTTTTATCTCCTTGCATTCCAACTCAAAACCAATCGTACGAGGCTCCATAACATACGAGTGTCATACTTGACCAGCAGACATTTTATACTTTACATATGTAACGTCAAGGTGCGATCTCGTATGTGGCGAAAATTATTTTTTTTTTAAATTATCAAAATAAAACATTCTTCTCAGTGGGTCAGTTCGTCTGGTCGCTCCGTATCTGTATGTCTTTATTTAGGTAATTAGATTGTTAGGTAGCTAATTAAGATAGATGGACGATAGGGTGGAATATATATATATATATATATAATATATATAGGAAGGTATAGGTACATCGGGTAGGTATAGATATTAAAATCTGTTTACGAAATATCAGGCCCCCGCAAGAAAGAGAGAGAGAAAGAAAAATTCATTAAAACTCAAAAAATCAATGAGAATCTTTCTACGTTCACACCCATCGTTATCTGTATGTGATATCGTATCTTTTTTTTCTTGTCGCCAGTTTCTCCCACCATTTTCATTTAGAGTTACCACTGTTCGAATCACGTAATCACATTCTCACGATTTATTATAATATTATATGTACACGCAGTATAAGATACTTTATCGCACGATAATTAATGCTTGAGCCGACGCGAAATTATCTTTTTCTTTAAATTCGCCCCCCCCC